AAAGAGTGCTTTGTGCTCTTTCATATTTGATGATGGTACAGCCACGACCAGTTCACTTATACTGGGGAAGCAAGCCTAAGTCCGAGCGGAGAAGGATGCTATGGAGACCACATCCTGTCAGAAGGGAGGTAACATGTACACATATGGACCAGTCCAGCAGGGCAGTACTATATATGGCAATCACTGCGGTAGGTCCTGCCTGAAAAGGTGGGAACTACTACCAAAGCAGAGACTAGACAGAAGTAATTCTGTCAAGGGAAGACACGGGTTTACCAACAGGGAAACTGTACCATGGGAGAATACACACATGGGATCACCAGAAGGGAATCACTACATGTGGGGCACTGAGCTCAGTACAGGGGCTGATCGAAAGGGCATACAACGCAAGTACTGAGCCCGTCTGGAGAGATGATATGGCGCTCACACTCCCTGTCGCTGCAAACGAGACACTAAGCCAGTCTTCCTGCCATTTACCTGTTAGTAATCAACACACAGGAAGAAACTGGCTCAACCCGGAGGCTGTAAAACCTCACAAAGGTATGAGGTATCGCCCAGCCTGCAGCTCTACAGATGTCTGCTAGAGAGGCACCATGCGCCAGCACCCAGGAGGAGGCCACACTCCGAGAGGAGTGAGTCCTCATTCCTAGAGGGCACGGCTCACCTTGTGTTCGGTACGCCAAGGGGATGGCATCCATTAGTCAGTGGGCCAACCTCTGTTTGGAGACAAGCAGACAAAGAGCTGGTCAGAACTTCTAAAGCTGAGAGTGCGGTCCACGTAAACATCAAGGGCGCGAACAGGACACAGCAGCACAAGGGCTGTGTCTGCCTTCTCCAAGGGCAGTGCTTGCAGGCTCACTACCTGGTACCGGAAAAGATTGGTGGGAACTTTGGGCATGCATCCAGACCAGGGTCTCAGGATAACATGAGAGTCAGTCAGTCTGAATTCAAGGCACGTTTCGCAAACCGAAAATGCCTGCAGGTCCCCCACCCTCTTGATGGAAGTGAGCACGGTCAGGAACGCTGTTTTAAGAGACAGGATCTTTAGCTCAACTGACTCCAGTGGCTCAAAGGGGGCTCTTTGCAGCCCAGAAAGGACCACAGAGAGATCCCAAGAGGGGACGAGGTACGAACTAGGAGGATTAAACCTCCTTGCGCCTCTCAGGAACCTGATGACCAGGTTGTGCTTTCCCACAGAACTGCTGTCCTCTGCATTGTGATGTGCTGTGCCAAATTTTGCCCTGCCCCTGAGAAAGAAGGGGGATTTGCCAGGGAGAGGCTGTCGCGAGGAGCAATAAATCCGAAAACCAGGTCCGGGTGGGCCAATAGGGCGCAACCATCAAGACCTGCTCCTTGTCCTCCCTGATCTTGCACAGGATCTGTGCAAGGAGGCTCACTGGGGGAAATGCATATTTAAGTAGGCCCCTGGGGCCAGCTGTGTGCCAGTGCGTTGTGCCGAGGATCCCCTCGGTCAGGGAGTAAAAGAGCTGGTGATGGGAGGACTCGTGGGAGGCAAACAGGTCTACCTGACCGTCCCCAAACTGACTCCATATCAGCTAAACCACCTGGGGGTGAAGTCTCCATTCTGCCGGGAGCGTGAGCTGTCGTGAGAGCATGTGAGCTACCCAGGGATATGAATGGCACCCTGAAGTGAACTGAATCACATAGCAAAGTCTGATTGTCCAAATGAACCACCGCGACAGGTTGGGAAACACTAGCCAGGCTCCCAAACTCTGTACGAGTGGCAGCAATGGGACAACTGACGCACCCTCAGAGGGGCAGCAACGGGGAGCACTGGGGCCCAACTCGGGAGGCAACGTGTCCCGAGTAGGGGGGGTGAGTGAGGAGTAGCACTTACCCAGCTCCTTGGATCCCACTAAAGGCTGACCAGAGATGCATGAGAAGGCCGTGCTTCCTTGAGGTGCAACCTCTTGGCCTGTGGCGAAAGAGGAGTGAAGAAGCATAGCATCGCTCAATGCAGACTGTGTCGGGTATGACCCAGAGACTGGGGAAATTGCTCTTTCATTGAAAATCTGGGTGCCACTGGCTGATAAGCCAGCGTTACAACAGAAAATTAATTCTCCGCCCGGCCCTCCTCCGGGGGAAGGAGCAGTGCTGTCACAATCTCCTGGGAAAAAGCAGTCCCCTCCATCTCCGGGTCACCCATGTCAGGGCCGCTTCGCTATCCGCTTGGAGGGCTTAGCGGCTGCCTGGGGCACGGGCTGCATCACCTTCCTGCGGGTGGCTCAACGTTGCGGCTGAGGTGTCACAGCAGCGTGCACTGGGCAAGATGTAGACGCCACAGGCGAATGCCCTCGATGACGAGCAGGCTGGAGGCCAGCCCGCAGCTGCTTGGTGTCAGCAGTATCACCTCGGGGCAAGATGTGCTTGATGACCTCAGTCTGCTTCTGGACTGTCGAGAACTGCTCTGCAAATTCCTCGACAGTGTCACCGAAGAGGCCAGCCTGCGAGATGGGGGCATCAAGAAAGCTAGCCTTGTCTGCGTTCCTCATCTCAGTAAGGTAAAGCCAGAGATGTCGCTCCTGTGGCCATCGTCCTGCCAAGGGCCTGCGCCATGACTTTAGTCACCTGTAGAGCGAAGTTGGTCACCTTGCGCAGTTCCTGCATCAACTCTGGCTTGGAACTACCCTCGTGCAGCTCCTTTAGTACTTTGGCCTGATGGACTTGCAGGATGGGATGGCATGCAAGGCGGAGGCCGCCTGTCCAGCAACACTGTAAGCCTTAGCAGCCAAAGCTGACATCATCTTACAGGCCTTGGAAGGGGACACAGGCGATCCTTCCAGGTGGTGGAAGTGCACTGCAATTGCACGCTCTGCCTGGGGATCTCCACTTAACCCTTGGTACCCCCCCCCCCCCCCCCCCCCCCCCAC